GAATGTTTAGGAGAAGGTAGGGAAGCTGAAGAAAACTTGCTATTGTCTGAAATGGTTTTGAATTTCTTCTTGTGTATTCAAACTTTCTTATATGTGGAATCAAGGAGTGTTTCAAAACATGTAAATGCCTGATACAAATTCTTTACAAAACATCACCCAGTGATAAGTGGACTATATACAGTCTTCTTTAAACAAGAAATCACAAGAAATTGCTGAGTTACTTTTCCAGTCAGTGAATCTTTCTCTGTTTTATAGAGGAGGCTGTACCGTTTGACAGAGCCATATACTCATCTGGTGTATGTTGACACTATGTAGTTGGCATTAATTGAGCGATGCTAACTGCTTGTTAATTGAGACCATTAGCTGAAACTCTGTCCCAAAACTCACTGATAGTAGTTGACTGCAGATAGACAAGAATAGTGAGAGTGGTGAATTGAACGATCATGACAGAAGATGAAGAATGAAATTGAGTGCTGAGTCTGAGTCCATATGAAAAGCATGCTGTTAAGTGAAGGTCTGGAGGGTTTTAAATGTCTGTAGCAAATCCCATGCACTTTTGTAGCTCTCCTGTTAGTTCTGCTACTGGTCCTTTACGTTAGCGGCTGGTGTAGAGAGCTGTGCCATTAATGTTTATCCTCATGTATGTCTTATAACAGGATTGTCACTTTAGAGTGTCAGATTAGAGCTCATTCAGCTAGGGCAACAGCAGCAAGAGTAGTCGGTCTCAGGACAGTCTTGTCTCTTCAGATTTCCAGGGCAATCACTTGAAATTTATCTTAGTTTTATAGAGCATTTGTTCAACATTGTATTGTATAGAGTATTTAAATACACTATGAGTGCTTTTCCAGAGTGTACTTAAGCGTGTTGTTCTTCTGTCACTTTTGAGGGAAGCATCTTAGTATCTAGAATTGGTGGTCCTTGATGCTCGAGTGAATTGGCCTACTGTGGTTGTTCCTACTTTAAAAAAAAAAAAACAAAAACAAACCCCCACAACTAGTATATAACATGTGATTTTTCTATAAGAAGCTATTCAAGTTTTGTGGTTTTTTTGAGCTGCCTACTTTGAAATCTGAAAACTGAAGCACAGAACAATAATACACAGAGGCTGGGCACAGTTTACAGCCTTTGCCAGCTGCTGCAGCTAAGCAGAATGTAAATGGCAGTAGCGTTTGTCGGCAATAGGCTGTGCTGTCTGTTCTACCTGGGTTACGTAGCTCTGCAGCTGCAATACCCCAGCACTATGGTACAGGGAAGATTCACCACTGGAGGATATGATTTGTTTCCTGGAAAAAGATATTAGTATCATTGCCGTCAACATTCCTACGTTGTGAAAGGGCTGTGACACTGTAAGGGAGCACATTGGTGGCTGCAGTCTCAGATTAAGTGAAGTTTTAAAGAACTGTTTGGCTCTCTTGAAGCCCACAGAGTTGCTTTTGTGGGTAGAACTAAGGTTGTTCAGATTCCTTAATTATGTGCATCCTTAACATAGTTAGTTAGACTTCTCCTTCTATTTAACCCTACTGTGATTTTTTTTTTTTTGAAGTTTTACTGTTTGGGCATTTATGATGATTGTGGTTTAACTTTGTATGAAACCACATACAACGTGGATTTTGATTCAATGTAATTTTTATAGATAAGCAATACTTCTCTTTACAGAGTTTAAATAGTTTTGTAGTTTAAATACTCAATACTTGTGTTAGGCTGAGGATTTAAAATTTACTGTATATTGAAAACGTGGCTATATTTTGCTGAAAGACAAATGTTGTTGGCAAACTTAGTTTTTACACAATAAGTCTGTTAAGACCTACCTGTTTAGGCTGTGTGACACTGAGGGAGGAGAGAAGCCTTAATTTTTGCAGGAGAAAGAAAAAGCTAAAGCTGTAAAAGGACTCGAATACTGAGGTGCTTCCAAACTCCTGCTTCACATGTTTTAGTTAGAAATTGCATTCTTCTAAGCTCCTACATGGTTCGTTCTTAAAGTGTAAACTTACTTAATTGTTCTGCGTAATGAGGATTTTCAGGTCTATGAAGATTTATTTTAAGGACATATCTAAAAATGCTGTAGTCTTGAAGAGTGAGCAAGTTGGTGGATCATACTTAAACCTCAGTGAGTCCTATGAAGTAGGCATTGTGTTACTTCTTGATGCGTTTCATTTGGTGGATGGTCTGAAAAAATGCCTTACAAATTATGCTCCATACAAAGTGATAGAAGGACCAAGTAGCCAGTAATTCAATACCTTTATGTGGTTTGGAGTACCTGGATTTGTACCTTTTGCATAAATCTAGCTGTCCTAAATACAGTATAAGAGTGTTTGTGAATGAGTTAGTAGTTTAAAATATGTCTGATGGGGAGAGATATCAGCACTTGACCTGTGGCAGTATTTTGAATGGAAGGATGGACTGCTGCTTAAAAATCCTCGGAGAAGACATTTATTTAAGCACATAATTTCATGGAAAGATTCAGAACATGTCTGCCTAAGGGTGAAGAATTGTCCTTTGGTAGCCCAGAAGAGAGCGAGTACGTCCTAAAGAGGAGCATTTAACACTCATCTCCAAGTTTGCAGGGAAAAATCGGGCTGGTATTAAAACTAACTAATTTTGCAGGATGTAACTTGGTTAAATTTTAATCTTTCTCAGTTAAGTTTATAATGAGAATCAAGTTAATAACTGTAACAGAGTTACATGGAATTTATTATTTTGCAGTGTGACATGGAGTAGAGTTAGCAAAACATCATCATGCTTAGCTAATTAAACTGGCCATCAGCTCTAGATCTTTATATAACAGTATAAAACCAGTATTCCCAGGCATTTCAACTAGTTTGTAATAATATGGTAAGCTGGTCAAAGTGTATTTTTTGTGCAAAACAAGAAGCATACAGCTAGCTAATTGTACTGTGGTACAACATGTCTTACATTTAGTTACGTGAAAAATTCTAGTTAAATGTGCTTAAAGTGGAATTGGGAGCAGGGGAAATCTTTGCATATGCTGTAGCTGAATTCATGTGCATGCAATGAATGACCCAGGTAATTAAAGTTATGTGGTACAATGAATGGCTTTAAAAGAGATACAAGGAAATTGCTTGGACTTAAATACCCTAAGTATGTAATTGCAGAAAATGGTATAAATTTGTCTTGGTGTCTGTTGTTTCTGTAATGTAAGTTATGTCTTGTGCTGTAACTGCATTTTGTTGCTCCAGGGTGTCTTGGAAATGAGACAGCCCATCTTAATAGGTTTTTTGGTAAACAATTTTTTAAAAGGAAAACATGAACATGCTTTAAATATTATAAAGCTAAAACAAATGCCTCTTTTCTTTGACTTCTTCACATACTCAAATTGCTGGGCATTTCAGTTTGATTCTTCATTTTCTAGTTTAAGCTGGTCTAGCTGGAACTCATTAAGCTACGTTATGCCTCTTTCAACTAGATGGAAATTTCTGTCATTGTTTCAGTTCTCCATGGAGATGGGCACCCAGTGATACTAGTGAATACATCACAACTATATAGTAGCTCACCCTGATAGAAACTCAGTTTCTGGCTCAGTTCTCTGCACTTTATGGACATTCTGCACTCCCAAGAACTCATCATCTCCTGATGTAAATTCTGACAGATTTTTTCCAATTAAATGAAGTTTACCTTAGACCAACTTCTATGCAGCTTTTATTAATGAATTGAACAGTGAAACAGAGCTTACAAAGCTTGCAGATGATGTCAAGTTGCAGGAAAGAGTTGCAGCTCTTGGACAGTTTCATAATTTGAACTGATTAAATTGCAGCACCATCCCAAATTAACAAACAGAAATTAAACTGAAATCTGAAGTCTCCTTTTAGAAAGGAGAAATGAAGTGCCCAAATTCAGAACAGGGAAGAAATTAACAATATTGCAAAAAAAGGTTGTGTACAGTCATTTAGAAATTCACTGTGAAACTTCGTTCTGTAGATGAAAGAAAAAAAAAAAACCTGGAGATACAAATTCATGTTGCGCTTTAATTGCAGCGAGGTGTGAACTGTCCACTTTTCAGATTTAGTAAGAAGGTACTTGCAGATTAAGTCATATAGGATTTATGCAAAAGAGGGAATTTTTCATGGATTATTTTTTCTCTGTATCATCTGGTACACCCAGTGACCTGTTTAGCCTCATGATACTATAACTAATATATTGAAGCTGCATGGTATTTGATTGATTATTCATAACAAAAACAATTGTGAAAAATGGTTCTCCATGTATCAGTTGATGATGGGACAAAAACCAAATTGATTTTACATAGATACCTTAAGGAAAATTTTAGCAAAGACTTTGAAGTGCCTGGATAATAAAACACGTATAGATTACAGATCTCCTTAGGTAGAATCTCATTTTCTAAGAATGAGCTTGACAACCCCATCCTGGGAATGGTTTAACACTTGGATGTTTCTCTAGTCCCTGGTTTTGTGCAGCAGTGTTCTACGGATGGGGTGGTGTTCGGATCGGAGAAAGGAGTAGATATATCCATGTGATTTTAATTCTTATTCCATAACATATGCCATTGGATGATCTGCCTGCCACAGGTGGTCCTCAGATTGATGAATCAAAGGCCAACTGTGTATCTAAAGAGCCCAGAGCTCAGTTTCAGAATACTCTATCACTTTCAGTGTGATGTTGCCAGGCATAATTGTTCTGCAGTCTCGTCTTATGGCTCATTCACAGTCAAATGAGTAAGTATAATCCTGCTCTTCTAACAGCTGAAGACACTGAGGCAGAGCAACTGAGTCTGATTTTTGAAGATTCCCCAGCCTATTTTGCACAAAATATATACAATTATTGTCCCAAAGACCTGCTCAAATTGAGGTGTCTACCTTTTTTCGTATACGCTCTTAAAAGAAGGGTCTGGGTAACTATCAAACAGGTAGTCAGACTGCAGGTAGCGTTAGCGTACTTAATGTGTGGCTTGCCTTTTCAGTTAATTTTATAGCTCAGATTTGTTATTCAGATCTATTTCTGACTAGGAAAATGTTTCATCTTAGGTTTTGAAACTGCAAAGTCTCTTGCACTGCATGGGGCATACGTTATCCTGGCCTGCAGAAATACGTCAAGAGGTAATGATGCTGTACAACGCATTCTTGCGGAATGGGTAAGTGAATGTATAGTGTCCAACACTAAGTTTTATTTCTCAAGATGTGAAGTATTTTGTGCGCTACAAGCAGTTAAATAGCTTTTACATTGCCAGGCAAGAATCTAAGGAAGAAGGCATTTGTCTTATTTTGTAATATCCTGTTCAGTCGCTGGTATATCGGTGATAGAGATTTTTCATTTTGTGTGACCATATTGGACTGCAAATTATCCATATTACATGGAGATGCCTTGTAAGGTTGCAAACGTTTGAAAGAACCGCTGAGGCATGTTTTATAGTTCATTGGACAGGACATTTCCAGAACCAAAGTGTATAACTAAGTTGAAGGAGAAGGTACGCACTTGGATATTAGAGACAGCCACTATGTTGCCCATAGTTTTTATACCATGGGACGTTTCAGGGGGTCATTCTTACACTTTTCAGAACCAAGAATGTTTCCCTTATTTTCTTTTAGTCCATCAGGCCCAACAGCACTTATGCCAGGCAGACTGTCTCAATGTTTTATTTCCTTCCTGTTTCTTTCCTCTTTCTTTAATTTTTCTTCCGTTTTTGTTGTGCAAATACAAGCTCTTCGGTACAGTCTATTCCCTTGTTTCTCTTTGACTCCTTACTTCCCCACTCCTTTTTTTTTTTTTTCCGATCATCTAAGACTCTTATTAAAATTTATTCAGTGTTCTTAATTTATTCCTCCCACAATCATTTACTTGCTAGTAAGGATTGCAGGCTAGTTTTGTCTGAGCTTGCTATGACTGCTGCCTTCCAGGGGATAATCTGTTGACACAATCCTATACACTTTACTTGAATAATAAACTGCAGGGTTAGATTCTTGGAATTTTATTTCTTTCCTGCTAAAATTAGTGATGAGTGTTTTAGCTTTATTTCCCAAGCTCTGAAAATGTTTCAACTGCTCCCAGATGATATGGGAGAGCACTCAGTAGTATTAATATTTACACATAAGTAGTCTACAGAGAATTATAATATTTATTAGTGCAAACCAAACAGTGCTTATTTACAAGTATTTCCAAATCAGTGATGCTTATAATATTGCTAATTTTTGTAACCACATATTTCTTCAAGAAACAGTCTTTGGATTTAGGCTTTTTTTTTTTTTCTCTTGCCAGATGATATTAATGATTTACAGTAAAGGATAAGGAGGGAAAAATATCTTACTTTCCCCTTCAATACTTCACATTAAATCTCTCTTTTTTTTTTTATTTTCAATAGCTTGGAATTCCAAGAGAATTCCAACAGGGGCAAGGATAGCATGTGTTGCTTAAAGTTTATCTGTCTGTTCTCTTTCAATAGAACTGGATTGGGTGATAGTCTGTCTTTTTAATTTATTAGTCCCAGTCCAGCTAAATATAGCTATATATATATGTTTTTATGTAACCAAAATAAGGCAGTACTGAGTACCTTTTATTTTAAAAATATCCTGTTACCCCCTTAATTCTAAGCATATCTCTGAGCACTTTGAAGGCAACAGGAGTTCAGGAGTACTTGTCTTAATACCTATATTATCTCACCAAAAGTTAATGAATTGTTAATTGAATTAACATTACTGAAGGTCAAATTACTTCAGAAACACTGTGTTTAGTTTTCAAATTCTAATTGTTCAGAAAAGAATCTCATCTCTAAACTGGGTAGCTGGAAAACCTTCAATGCATCTTTGTAATGGCTTTGTTGTTGTTTATTGAGAGGGACTAATTAACTTTGATTATTGCACTAATATTATGGCACTTTGACAGTCCCTCAGATTTATGACTCTGGGAAAATAAACAAATGAAATGCAGGTGCTGGAGCAGAAAGAATAAGTTATTACTGAACTTTAATTACTTGGAGTGTGTAACCAGGAGAGAATTAGTTGATGAATTACAAGATGCTTAAAATTTGCATCAAACTGTAAGCAATCTTGAAGAAAACAAACACAAAAACCTGCCCCAAAATCAGTTACTGAAAACAAAGATACAAAGATTAATGTGATTGATTGATACTAATATTAAAATATTGATGTAAAATATTAATTTTTAGCTAATAGGTGTAACTACAGAGCAGGAAGTTGTTAATTGAAAATTCTTTCCTAAAATTAAAGATTTAAAGAAAAAAGTCAACAACTGCATATGATTTAGATGAATTCTCAATATGTAGCTGCAACTATCCTGTTATAAAAGGGTAGTCAAAGCATCCACAGTGTTTGGATGCTGTCTTGTTCCTAGGGAAAGCAAAATTATTGAAAGGAAATTGGTTTACTTTTCAATTTGGAACCAGTTTTTTTAAAAAATACAACTGTTTAGGATGCAGCCTTACAAAGCCTCATCTTCATGTTACTTGGGTAGTATTTTTTGGCAACAGTAGTGCCACCTACTTGTTTTATGTCATCTTGTAGATTTTTGAGATTAAGTCTCTGAGCTGCACTATAAATACTGTCTTCCTCCAATATTCTGAGGGATGGAAGTTTGGTAAATAAGTGCCTACTCTTCAACTGAATGTCCAAACCCCGTTTTCTTCTAACTTGCATGAACTATACTTTTATAACTAAAACAATCTTTGCCATATTGAATTCTAGTGTGTTTGCATAAGTGTACTGTGTTGGTAATAAAATTGGTATTTCTATAATAACATGTATATTACCAAAAGGAATGTGTATCTTATGCTGGCTTTTCTGTGGGACGGTATGGTTTAGTACTTGGGGTTTAAATATCTGACAGAATATTTCCTTTTTCATTCTTTTTGTTGTTTGACGCAAAAGAGAGTTCTCCTAATTTTGCAAGAAGACAAAATTAAAAATGTATGAAGAAACAAATGATATTTCAAGTTTTGATACAGTTATCTAATTGATGGTCTGTATTAACTAAAGCCTGAAATATATATTGAAAAAAATGTAATTCTTAAACCAACCAACCACTGCCAAACCACAACAACAAAACCCCCAAATCAAACCTACCCTAATGCAGCATTTAAAAATAAATTACAGCATATGTAACAGTACTTAAGAAAGCCATCCAGCTTGTTCCCTTAGTGAGTCTACTGTGGCATCCTTGTCTGACATGCCTTAAACTGAGTGTCTGCAGAAAGACAGCTCTTCTTTGGGCCTGTTGTGCTTTTAAATAAGTTGGTAGGGAAAAAAACCCAGTTTTGGTCTGCTTTTAATGAAAGCTGAAAATCAAGTTTATAAAGAGAAAATGGGACAGCTAAATGGCTTGAGAAAATCTAGTTAAGATTTAGACAAAACAGGAGGAATAATGGGAGAAAATAAATTTTTTCATGTTAGCTGCCATTATGTTTAAAAAAACAAATTTAAACTGATCTTAATTGGCTGTTGGAGACAAATCTAGAAAGCTTTGTTTTTAATGATTTATTTCTAAAGAGCTGTTTTATAGAGTTTGAGCCATTTGAGTAGGGATTACCCGTATAAACTTGCTAATTACTTTAAATAACTGACATTTATTTGCAACCTGCAGTATTCCAGTTATTTTCTTTCTAAACTAAATCAGAATTTTGCTAATATTGCAAACAGAGGGTAATTGCCTCATGTAAGGCATTGTATACAAGTTTTAATGTGATGACTCTAGTCTGTCAAATGTAATTTTTAGAGAGGTATAGTTGATTTATGTTGGTACAATCTAATGTTTTATATATGTACATGTGTATATATAGAGAGAGAAAGGAAGAGAAAGTAGGTAAAAGAAGCAGATAAAAAGAGAGATCAGTACAGCCTTACAATTTGATATCTTGAAAATGAATGTTATTCACGCACGATGACATTCAATATCAGTTTAAAAGTGTTTGATAATTTCTTGCTCAGAAAAGAGGAAATTAGAATTCTAGAGTTATGATTCATTTTAATCAGAAAGAAATTGTCAAACATAAATCTCTCCTTGAGTAGTGAAAAGGCCTGAAAGCAGCCAAGAAAAAATATCAATACTTTGCAAGGGAGGAATGATTGTTCCAATTCGTAGCTTAATTGACTTTAAGGCTTAATGAAAAACACTACAGTGCTGTTTGTACACATAGTTGCTCTGACAAACATTGAAATCTATGCTCCAGGAAGAGAAGCTAGGTAATTTATTTTACATTATTATTGATATAATTTTCTAATTGAGTATGAGCAGAATGTTTGGATAAGACTGTGTAGTTCCAGATGTTAGTGCTATTCTCAAGAAAATACTTAAGAATATGAATGAATAAAATATTTCATAAATCACAGCTTTTCTTGCCAAGAAGCTCTCATTTATTTATTCCTGTCAAATAGTCTTCGAAGTAGATATTAAAAGATAAATTGTAAGTTTAATATTTCATAAAAAATATAATGTTTCTTTTATAATTATTCCTTAGTGTTAAGCCTACAGCTACATCAAAGATTAGATTAAATTGTAAGAAGAAAATTTGGGTTTCCTTTATATGTAGAAACACACAAGGTAGAGATGTGACAAGAGAAGAGAGAATGGCTATGAAGAAAACCAACAAAATAAATGTGACTCCTTGCTGTATTCCTTTCCCCCAAAGTATTCTTCACCTAAGAAGTGATTTATGTTCTTGCTGATTAAGTAACTGAATGAAATTAAAACCTGATAAGTGAGTCTTTGTATTCCAACTGGAATCTTGCAAAGTGCAGAAAGATGTACCTAGTTCACTTCTCATTTACACAGAACATGGGCAACAGTTTTCATGTGTTGACTGTACGTTTCCTCTTCAAGGAAGGGGACTGATTTTCCAGTGTTGCGTTTCCACTGATGTCCTTGGTCTACAATTTTTTTTGTGTATGTGCATGGAATACAGGATAGCTCTGTAAAATAATCTTCTGTCTTAGTCTTTTGGTACTAATGGATGCTAATCCTGATACAGAAGATAAAATTTCCTTTTCTATCTATTGGATATTAGTTTTGTGAGCTTTTTCTGTAAATCAGTCAGGCTATTAATACACGATTTCTATATCAAGACTATGTAAGACTACATTAGAACCAGCACAATAAAATGTTCTCGAAATTAACTGATGTGAATGA